TATTCCCTCCCCCACACTTGAATTAAACATTGTCCCTAATGTTTAAAGACAGAAAACAAACAAGAAGAGAGAGGGACACTGAAACTCCCCTAACTAATAGATGTGGCAAGTTGATAGACAGAAAGACTTTGATAGAGGGATGAGAGTGACATCCTCAAGAGAATAGGTACCTACTAATCATATCAAATAGACAAGCGGATAAGTTGGAAATAAAAAAGTTAGTTATAGACCATCGAGTAAAGGGTTATCAAATATCAGTTACAAACCAAAATAGTAAATGAAACAATCACAAAAAAAAAAAGAAAAATAACTAAAAGAAAAAGAAATGAAGATACTAAACAAAACGACACAAATCAAGCAAAGTGGAAGCTCAATTTCATGGTAGGTTCAGCTTGAGAAGGATCTATGGATGGAATAGGAGAAGGTGCCACAGATGAGCCATGCACGTCATGACCAGGTATGTGTAAATGTTGTATGATGAGGCATAAATGCTCTTCCAACCTCTTGACGGCATCTGCTAATGACTCCAATTATTGCTTAGCCCACACATTAAAAGGAGAAAAATGAACATGGGTGGGCTGATTGACTTCTTCCCCTTGTTCTACCAGAGACTCCTCTACCTGAGATGACTTGGCATGCATTTTGTGGTACTTGATAGGCTGACAGGGTTGCTGTTGTTCCCCATCATCAGTAATGGGAACCTTAGTAGCCAGAAGCAATTCAGTAATCAAATGAGGGAAGGCAAGTACTCTCTTAGTCTTGACATTGATACACCACTTTATAGAGTCATAGATAAGAGCAGCTAGATCAATTAATTTTCTCTCCATAATGTAATAGATGAGAAAAAAAAGATCCTTGTTCATTTTTGATGTATTTGATGTGGGCATGACATTGTGAGCCATAAAATGAAACCAAAATGTGCTTTGCCTTGTAAGCATACCCCTTAATAGCCCTCTTTGACAAAAACCAACAAAGTCAAAACATAAATGCTTGGCCACTGCATCCTAATCAAGTGTGAAGGAGTTCATCTTTTATTGGTGATAAAGACAGTTAATAGTGGAAGGGAAGCCATAATAATTTTGAATAACCTTGGCATTAATTACCACTTCCTTGTCACACACCCAGTAAATGTCATTGTAGCAATAAAATGCATTCGCATAAAATTCCCTAACTAGAGCAAAGATATAATATTAAAATTTTTCATTTGTCAAATACACCATCCATCCCCTTCGCACAAGTGTTTAAAGGTAGCTTTAGAGTATAAAATTGCACAATAATAGTCAGAAATAAAATTCTTGGATCCCACTAGAGAGATAAATCTATCTTGGCATGCATGATTCATAAATTTCTCATTGTTGAATGGTTGCTTTGACTTCTTAACAGCTTTCTAAGAGGAAGAAGAGGGAGTAGTCTTGTATTTAGCTATACTCTTACGACCCATTGCTAAATCATAAACACAAGACAAGCCATAATAAGTCACAATAAACAAACCATCACAAAAGTAATCACATGCCAAAACTTAAATAAAGATAACCAAATGGAAACAAGAGCCATGCTAACTTGCGAAAGTAGACAAGTTAAAATAAAGGCCTTACTCAAATAATGAGAACATGTCATCCATCAGTAGATAACAAAGTAAGAATAATCGACTTTCAACATAAGCAAACAAAAAAAAACAAATTTTAAGGTTCAGTGCCAAAAGTTGGTAAAATCAAAGAATATTTAACTAAACCATTGTACCCTCAGTAGTACAAATAAAGTGGTCCTCACTTTGAAATTTCAACTTATCAACTAAGGCAAATAACCATTATTCAAAAAGCCAAAACAATATGCACAATATTCAAAGCACCTATCCATGAAAAAACAGATAACATTGCTCACAGCTAAATTTCACATTGAGATATGAATGGGTCCATACAATGCACAACAAATATTCAATTTAAAGTTCAGAGCATAAATTCAGCAGAACCAATTTTATACCACCAACACTCATTGTAACTCTCACAAGTAATTCGAAACACATAAGCTAACAATAAACAAGGAAGCATCCAAAATTTTAGTTATAATTAGTCTGCTCAAAACATAGGATAGAGGTCAATCAATAACCTTTTTAACTCATAGAAAGTAGAAAACTTGCCATTCTCATCACAAATCAGAAAAATAAAGTAAAAAAAATATCATAATAGCTCGAACAACATACCTAAAATGTGAAGGATGAACCAGCACGGTGACTAAAAGTGAAAAGAAAGAAAGAAAAAAAATGGAGGTAGGTTGAAGATGCAATAAAGCACGATAGATAAGCTTAAGTCTTACATAGTGCAGATAAAGGATTAAAGTACAGCTGGAAAGGAAGGAATAAAGAATGGTGAAAGGACTAAGTGAGGGAGATCATGAATAGGGATATTGATGAATAAGGGGGATAAAAAAATGAAGCGAGGCCACAGTTGAGATGAGGGATGCGGAAAGCAGGAGAAGATGATGAATAGGGTAATGAAGTTGGAGATGAGCCACTGCAAAAATGAAGAAGCTGTGAGGTGAAGTTATGAATAGTGAAAATAAGTTTCTTACAGTACGAAATAGAATAGGGTGATGGCAAAAACTGGTTGAACACGATAGAGAGTCAGGGCGATAAACAGCGTGTTGTGAACTGTAAAAGTAAGATTCAGGGAATGTGAAACAGGGCGAGCTAAAATGTGTGTGTTATGGCTAATTGAGACAAATGTGAAGTCTGGAATGACAAGGCTACAGCTGAGCTTGTTGTGGCTGAGTGAAGGGAGTTTCTTGTAGTTTTCAGTGGGACAGGGCGACGGTGGAAGATAGACAAGCACAATGGTTGATAAGGTTGGAGATTCAGAACTTTATGATGCCTGGTGGTGACAGCTAACAATAGATGAGCAGGTAAAAGTGAAGATGGTGAAGCATGCCGGAGTTGGAAGCTTTGTACATGGAAGTGGATGAGAAGTGAAGATTCATCAGATAAGGAAGGAGAAAGAGTGGCAACTGAAGATGAGAGAAAGTGAAAAGAGAAAAAATTTATTATTTGAATTATTATAGAATTGCTTTGTTATTTAATTTTTATATAGATAAAAGCATTTTTTCTTTTTATTTTAAGTAAATAATTATTAAAAAATTTAGTTATTATAAAAATTTATCATTTGCGATAATATAGAATTGTTTTTTATTTAATTTGCATAAAATATTAATTAAGGTTATTCTAAGTTTGCCAAATATTGTTTTTAAATTTTCATAATATATATATTGATTTAATTTGTTTATAAATGTTCAAAATTTATTATTTCCCCCAAATTATTAATATCTAATGGGTCAAAATTTTACATAATTTATTATAGAGAAAACCTAGGTATTGAATTTACATATTTAATGCATTCAGTCTGACAAAGCCCTCCTAAATATTAAAATTAAAATTTATCATTTTTATATTGATTCTTTAAAAGCATTCTACCTAATTGTACCATTACATAAAATTTTTATACTCTATGATCAGTATAAATTTTGATAAAATTATATTGTTCTATGGGGCTTTTGCAAGCATAGCCCATATCATAAGATCAAGTAAAAGAAATAGCCCACCCTTTCTTAAATTTCAAAAATGGCTTTTTTAATATTTAGTTTATAATTAATTTACAAAACTAACCTTTTAGTATCTATTTTTTGCAAATACTAGAAGATTCAAAATGTAATAAATCTTTAGAACTGAATGCAATGAATGTGAAATATATAGTTTAGAATGGCCTTTTTTTAGAGATGAATATGAGAGAGACGACGAAACTGGATGCAAAAGAGATAAATGCGAGACAACAATGCAGTGTGAGTGAGCAATCGTCACGATCTCGAGAGACAAACGCAAGGTGAGATACATTAATGGTACTTGATGGAACGGAGCATGTTGGTGGGAAAATGGATCAACAGATTCATGATTTTTTATTTTATTAGTTTAGGTATTTGACTCTCCGTGATAAACTAAGAGTCCAAAATTTTTTATGGAATGTATTTAATCCATTTTAGGCAAATGATTATATATTTTTCATATTACTAATTCATGATACTATATTGTTAATATATTGCTGTATATCACTGATATACTATCGCATATCAACATAAGTAGACAATCAAATATAAACTTGTTTATCATTGATATATATATACATATATCAATGATGTAGTATCACAGATCAACTACATGAAAAATACATAATCATTTGCCCAAAATGAATGAAACATAGTCCGAAAAAAATTCAGTGTTACCGAGAGATGTGAAGACGGTGAAAATTTAATGATAGATAATAGATTCCAGCCTAGTCTTTTGCTTCCAGAAATGAAGATTCCTCTTCAACGTCTAATGTTCTCTTCATAGTATTCCTGGGCAAAAAAGAGTGGGAGAGAGAAGAAAAGATCTATGATGAAAAAAAACACCAACAATTTTATATTCAAAGAAAAAAAGGAATGACTCCGAGAGGGGAGAAAAAGGAAAGACTTCAGTCAGTTAGAGATTAGTTACAATAAATATATTGTGTTTTAATAATAAATTTAATCTAAGGATAAAAAAGTAAAATATATCTAATTGATTTTATGAATGGGCCACATTTTAAAATATTCAACAATCTCATCCATAATTTATGGGAGTTGTATTTTTTGAGACCATTAAACTAATCTCCTCTTGTTCTATTTGCATAGTTTAATTTCATGGTTGTGTTATTGAGAAAACTTGCTCTTTATTGTTAGTTTAAGTATTGTTTCATAATTTCATTAATTTGTTTTACACTAAATTTATTAGTTACTCTCTTCATACATTTTTTCTACTCACTAGAAATTTTTTTGATCTCAAATATTGTATATGTTATCTAAAATTTTCTCCAAATATCTTTAAGAACTGCTGCATAATGAGTTGTGTGAGGCTCAGACATAAACTGGCTAACAACATGAACTACATAAGCAATATCAGGTCGCGTGACAGCAAGATAGATAAGGCCCCTAACCAGTTAGCGGTAACGAGTGGGATTATCCAATAAGGTGCCATCAGTGGTAGTATAGTGAACATTTGGTTCAATAGGAGTAGTTTCAACCTCCTCATCAGAAAGGTGAGCTCGGGATATCAAATTAGTAGCATACTTGACTTGAGAGAGTGATATACCATCACTCTCATGGTGGACCTCGATCCCAAGAAAATAGTTCAATTTGCCAAGATCCTTCATTTTAAATTGCTGGACCAAGTATATCTTGAGCTCCTGAACTCCCGTATTATCACTGCCTGTGATAATCATGTTATCAACATATAGTAGTGACAAAATAATACTATGAGTAGTAGAGCGAACAAAAAGAGCCGAGTCGTAAGGACTACAAGAAAAATTCAATTGATTCATAGTGTTACTAAACTTAGCAAACCATGCATGTGGAGCCTACTTGAGCCCATACAGAGCTCGACAAAGATGACAAACCTTGTGTTTTGGATGTTAATACCTAGGTAGAGGTTTCATATACACTTCTTCTTCTACATCTCCATTTAGAAATGCATTTTTAACATTCATTTGTGAAGAGGCCAATGCTTAACAGCAGCAATGGCTAGAAGGCTGCGAATAGAAGTCATATAAGCTACAGGTACAAAAGTTTCCTCATAGTTAACACCATACTCTTGAGTGAATCCTTAGGCCACCAAGTAGGCCTTATGTTGCTTCAAAGAGCTATTAGAATGAGTCTTATCTTGTAGACCTGTCAGCACCCAACTAAAGTTTTACTAGGAGGAAGATCAATAAGATCCTAAGTATGCATTTTCTTTAGGGCCTATAATTCATCATCCATAGCTTGCTGCCAAAGGGGATCACGAGAGGCTTCCTTAAAGGACTTGGGTTCCTAAAACTAGAGAATGGTAGAAAAACAATGGTAATCATTAAGGTAAGAGGGAGGATTTCTTATACGATTGGGCCGAGAGTTTGTGGACAATATGGGCTCAGTAGGCTTGACTTGTGCTGGAAGACCAATAAGTGTGACAGTAGGCATATCTGGAGCGGGCGCAGCATCGGTCATGGAAATGAGCTCAATTGATGAATCTGTACTTAAGCTATTAGGAAAAAGATCAGTAGAAATATCTATAAAAATAGGAGATGAAGAAGATGAGAATGATGAGAGATCGGTTAGAGATGAAAACTTTATATTTCCCTAAAAGACAACATGTCGAGAAATACGAATGCGGTGAGAGAGAGGATCCCAACAATGATAACCTTTATGCTTAAAATCATAACCAAGAAAACAACAAACACAAGAACGAACTTGAAGTTTGTTTGTCTCATGAGACAGAAGAAGAACAAAATAGGCATAAGCAAAGACTTTCAAAAGACTATAATTGGGAGGATAACCATGGACACGCTTAAAAGGAGAAATGTTATTGATAACAAGAGAAGGGAGTCAATTGATGCAAAAGACAGAGGTTATGGCTGCTTCACCCCAAAACCGTTCAGGACAACAAGAGGAAATGAGCAATGCTCTAGTAGAATCAAGAATATGACGGTGTTTATGCTTAGCACGACCATTTTGTTGAGAAGTATAAGGACAAGAATATTGAGAAATAGTACCTTGAGAATCAAGAAAGGTGAGTAATTTAGAGTCACGGTATTCCAAAGCATTATCACGACAAAAAATTTTGATGACGTTAGAATATTGAGTGTGAACCATAGTAGCAAATTTGATATAAAGTTCAAGTAACTCAAATCAATGTTTCATCATATAAATCCAGGTAAAATGAGGAAATCATTAATAAAAATCACAAAATATTGGGATCCTCCCATAAAGGGAGTAGGTGTAAGGCCCCAAATGTCAGAATGAATCAAATCAAATGGAGAAGCAGCAATAGAATCATTTTTATGAAAAGACAAAGTGGGTTGTTTGGCAGTCTGACAAGAAACGCATTACAAAAAATGACTAGGAACATGACCTAAAAGACCACTAGAAATTAAAGGATGCAATTTACTCAAATAAGGGTGAGCAAGACGATGATGCCATAAGTCGAGAGAAGAATCAGGAGAAGAGGATGTGGAGGCTGTACACAATGTGGGAACAGTGATCTCAGGTAGGTGCATTGAAGTAAGCTCGAACATGCGACCAGCTTTGCACCCGGTCCTGACAACCTGTCCTATTTAAGAATCTATCACAACACAACCACGTTTATTAAATAACATGTCATAACCCATATCAACAAACTGTCCAACAAAAAGAAGGTTAAAGTTAATGATAGGAACAAAATATGTATCATGAATGGATAGGGAAGGCAAGGAGACAGTACCGATATGACTAACAAGCATTTGAGAATTATCAGCAATGTGTATAGGATAGACAGTAGAGTTATGTGCCATAGAGGAGAAGAAATTTTCCTAACTTGTCATATGATTGCAGCAAGCAAAGTCAAAATACCAAGTGGACTTATCGGTGAGAGTAGATAAGGCAGTAGATGGGCTAAAGGAACTAGAGATGAATGTGCGCAACAAAGTTTCAAGTTCAATCAGAGAGGATCCTAAAGTAGGTTGGGCAAGATCACATTTTTCTAACTAAGGATAGTAATTGCAACCATTCAAAGTAACTAATACAGATTGAGTAACATCTAAATTTGCCATTTTTTAAGGAATAAAAAAAAGGCTTATGAAAGAGAATGAAGGATTAAAAACATCTAAACCAAAGACTGTAGTGCGAATGGCATAGCACTCATACTAGGAAACTAGTCAATGATCTGACCATTTATAATGACGTGTTGGATGTTCTTTACTTGCTGACCAAATTTCAGCACGATCCAATGGTTAACGAATCTGAAAATGTCAATTTACCGAAGCTGCTTGTGGATATACGAAAATAAATTTAAGATAGATCTGAACTCGTGATGAAAGATGGCAGCACTGCTGTGAAGGAAAGCTAACGCTCTTCAAAACTTGACTTATCATGGAAAAAAAATATTATATGGCTCTGATACCAAATCAGTAGCATACTTGACTTGAGAGAGAGGTATACCATCACTCCCATGGTGGACCTTGATCCTAAGAAAATAGTTTGATTTGTATATAATAAACCAAGAATTTAAATAAGATTAAAATTTATAATTAAGTATTTTGATTGTATTTTTATTTAATTTTGGAGTAGATTCATTAAGAAGGAATGGTGGTTTAGTGGCATCTATTGTTAGGTGTTTAAGTTTAGATCCTGAGTTTGAATTCTTATGGTGGTGTAAGATAGAGATTTATTTTATTTTATTTTATATTTTTCTCTTAGTTTGGCTAAAATTACTATAGTGCCCTCTTGGTATTTTTTTTAATAAAGAAAAACGTTTTAAATAAAATAAAGAGGCAACTAGAAGCAAAAAGCACGCATGGTCCTTTACTCCAAATATTTTTTTCGAATTCTCCAGACCTGGAGAGAGAAAGATCTCATTCATACCCTCTGTTCCCCATCTATCCTCCTCTGCGGATGAGCTCACATGGATAGGTGCACGAGCTCTGTCTACAGTTGCCGTGAAGCCTTGCCGTGAGTTCTTCCCCTGTTTGCTGTTCGTTCGCTGTTCATCTGTGTCCCTGTTCGTTCTTCTTCTTCTTCTTCTTCTTTTGTTTTGTGTTGCTGGAAGTCATTCTCCCCTGCCAGTCTCAGAATAATTTTTATAGAGATCGCAAGCTCATCTACCTAATCATCTCCTCCCATCCGAGCTGCTATGGGTTAGTGTATGAGGTTCCTTTCTTCTTCCCTTAATCAGCGTGGCAGATTCGTCCTTCCTCCTTTCATGTTCTGTCATAATCGATTGAAGGTGTAGAGCTTCAAATCCCCTACTTCTTTGCTGTTTTTTCTGTGTGATATTTGGCTTCGCTGTGATTCCTTTATTTTTTTATTTATTTTGCTGATGCTGTGCGTGATACAAGGGGTGAATGAGTTTAACTAAATTGAACTTGAATTTAAGAGCATGATTGTTGGTAGATAATTTCCCTTACGTTGATTAATGTAGAAAAAGAATTATATTTAACGTCTTTGATTTCAATTGGCTTGTGTTGAAAGGAAAAAAAAATTGGGAAGCTTGGAAGTGTAGGTATTGATAATGAAATTTTCTAAGGAAATGAGGAAGCTTGTATTGTAGTTGGACATGAAGGCATGCAAGGTGTTTGAAAAAATGTTTGTTAGAAGGAAATTTGCTTGATTTTATAGTTTATGAAATTTGATTAATTCTTATAAAAAGTATGTTTGGTTTAGGTACTATTTAATTGTGAATTAACTTGAGTATTATCTAGAAATTGGATAATTATGGAGCTAGTGTATAACTAGTGGATTTCTTGGGAGTTGTGTGGTTGTTGATTAATGTTTGAGCAAGAGATTTGAACGTTTAAAAAAAAAAAAAAAAGCTCAATTGAGTGGTCGGAAATGATCCACAGTAGGCACTTGACAAAAGGCTAAAGAGGAGATTGCATTTCAATTGAGTAATTAGCTATTGTTACTTTATGTGTAAATCTTGGTTCCAAAATTTTAAATATATTATAGTTAAATATTTGTTATGTTAATTTGGAATAAAGTTTTATGGAACTTATTGAAAGTCTATTAAGACCCTATTATATTTTATAAGGTGTCTAGAAAAGGAGGATCTTGATAAAAGTTATAGGGAGTAAGTTATAAATGTTGGGGAGTATTTTAGATAAGTGGATAACGTTCCAACCAATTTTTGTATTTGCAAATTTCCTCTTATCAAATATTATTTTTGATAATTTACAATTATTAATATATGTTTCTCCAATACTGATCATTGTTGTTAATTAAATTTCTTTAGCTCTTGAAGTTGTCATGATATATACTTATTAGATTGACAAAAATGCCTTTATAAATTCTAGTACTCTTTTATTCAATAAAGACAATCATGGAAATTGGTAAAGAAGTTTATGAAATATTAGTTGTAAATTTTCATATTTAAAAGGATTGATGTTTTAATCAGTTCATGCGAGTTTGATATTAAGAAGAGAAAATTTTATTTTAAAAGTGATGATTTTCTCACATGTTTGAAAATAGATTTGAAGGGGACTTCATATAGAACACTAGTTGCTAATAACAATTTCGTTAACCCTTAGCATGTCCATGGTCAATGACTAAGTAGTTTGATTTTTGTGAGCTTTGTTCTCACATTTGTTATTTGCGGGTCTCATGCTCGCGTTTATTTTCATGGCTTCAAGTCACGTTTGGTTAGTATTACCCTCCTGGATTATGTGTCCACATTTGTCTTTTTGGCATAAGCTGTATTTAGTTATTTACCCTTGTGGACTGTGTGTCCACATTTGTTAATTGTTCTTATAAGTCCCTATAATTATAAATTACATTCTTTGGTGATTTTACATCTCATTGTTCTTTTATTTAGTGATTTACTTATAATTATTTATTTTGCTTATTTGCTTTCTTGAAATCAAGTTATAATAATATTTAATTTGATAATTTAATGGTTCAAAATTTTATTTAATGTTATATAGAGATAGTTTATTTTGAAGTTTACTAAATTTTTTATGAAAATCATGGTCTCTTTAACTTACATAATTGTTTCAGACTTTCCTTTTATTTATGTTCAATTATTTATTGTTAGGATTTTATTCACTAAAAATATTTTTAGTCTCAAATAATATAACCGATGATCTAACTTCAACTGATCTATGAGGGACTCCTTGTTGATTTAAGGAGAAGACCTTTCGAGTATATGTTTCTTGTGCTACAAATGGTTAATTAGTTGTATATTTTGAAATTATAATTAGGTATGCTCCACATTAATTATAGATAGGATTCTCATTTGTAATGTATTTGTCTATTTATTGTGAAGGAGGAGAGCTCTGCATTTTTTATTTGGACTGTATATTGCTATTGTAAAGATCTCAATAGGTCTTATTTAGAGTGGAGATTCTGACAAAATTTTTATAGAAGTTTACAAATAATATATGAAAATGTTACAATTATCTTCCACCATATTTCAAATGAATTAAAATACTAGATTAAAATTTCCTTGATCAAGGTTTAAGGGATATATATTTGTGTATATATCCCATGTCACGTCTAATTTCTAGGGCATGACATTGTACATAACCTTATACCTCCCATAGATCATTGAGGGGCCATGTTGTTTTCTTTTTTTAAAAAAAAAGAGGAAGCACACTATAATTATCCCTTTTGGTGAAACTATATATGGTATTATATAATTATAATTTAGCACTCCATGTACACCATAGTTATGTCTTGATTTTATTAATTAATAAGTTGCTGATGTGGAGCTAGTTTCCTTTATTGGATTGGTTGACAAGTTTTGTTATTATAGAAATTTCGGGAAGTTCAAATTATAAGGGAGACTTTACTGAAATTTCTACAAAATATTTAAAACTTTATTATTATATATATAACTTATATGTTGATATTTTAGCTTAACTTCTAGCTAATCAAAGCTTATAGAATGTGAGTTTATCTTATTTTTCATGTTGATCATACCCTTAGTATCAAGGTGTGACAAAAATCTAGGAGTATTATTTACGTGACACTCTCTTACAAATAAAAATTTTAAAATTAAAAGTCAATCTTGTAGTTTTTTACATTGGTTTATATAATATATATATATATATATATTATTTCCTGTGAATATAATTTGTATTAATGGATGTTTTTATGTTTAACTTATAAATATAACAAATTTAATTTTGATTTATAAATATAAACTATTTACATGAAAATATTAAAAGAGTTTGAATTATAAATATAATCATTTTTTGGTAATAATATTAATCATTTTTTATTATTGTAACTAAAAGTAAAATAATATCCAGTTTTTGTCAAATATTTAGAAAATAATTTTCTTAATAAAATCTCTAAAACAGCTAAAAATATCCTTATCTGTTTGATTCTTTGTCTACATAACGACTTTTTCATCCAACCTCCTCCTCTTCTTTTTGAAAAGAAGCCCTCTTATTCCTAATGAATTATGTCACTCACAGGACAATTTTAAAATTTTTTAAATATTTTTGAAATTTAAGCATGTTTATTTAACTTTTTTAATAACAAAATATTACAAGAAAATAAATTAAAAAGTTAAATATAATTTTGTAAAATGTTTGATGTTTTTTCGGGATAGATGGGTCAAGTGACAAAA